TGTTTATTGATAGAAGACTGTCAGCTCCGGGGGGCTGCCTGGTGCCTGCAGGGGCTGTGACGAGGAGCCTGGAGCTGATGCGATAGGGAAGGGTGGGCAGAGAGGACCCAAGTGCCACTGGTGCCACTCACAGCAACAGGGGCCACGTGGGAGGAACCACGATGAGCACGTATCATAACTGGGGACCTACCTAAACAAGATGGCATTTTGGGGTGCGGGTATGCTTTGAGGGACAGCCAGAAATGCTTGGAGCTGGAATTTTCCTATGCGCGTTAAGCTGTGCATGCTCCGTGCGTGTGCGTGCGTGCATGTGATTGGTGACACGGTTTTCACAATGAGGGGCTGTAACTGCAGCTGGCCTTTGCTTCGGATAAATAATCCGAGACGTTGGTTCGAGGTTTGCAGCTTGCTGTCCTAGGCAGCGATCAGACCGCAGGCCTCGCCGGGGGCACAAGCAGTGCCCCGACAAAGCTGGGTGGGGATGCTGATGGACCGCCACAGCCGAGATCTGGGGCGCATCAGCTCCTCGAACCCTAAGACTGCCTAGAAATTTGGCATTCAATGCAAGGTCCTGGCCCCAGTGAGTGCTGGCTTGGCCTCTGCCCTCCCATGGCAGATTTCCTCAGTGCATGAACCAGGCTGAAGTCCAACCCAGCCCGTGGATCCCAGGAAACATTGCTAGGCCTGCCCGTGCACCCAGGCTTTGAGGGCAAGGCAGGAGGGAGTGAGTCACGTAGGAGCCATTATCATTCCAGAAAGGGAGCCCAGGTGGAGAAGTGGGGACTATTGGTCATTTATTTGGCAGGTGGGGTTTGCACGTGGCTGTGTGCACCCCGGCACACAGCCCAGTGGGATTTAAATACAGCGAAGTAAGTAATAAATCCCATCCTGTCCTAGGTGACTCTGGAAAGAGCTCTCCTGGCAGACGGAAACATGCAGCTAGACTGAACAGAGCAAGAAACGTTTGCTCTGGACCTGTCCCTTGGCTGAATCCTCCAAGGGGGGGTTGGGATCTCATCCCATTGCTTCCTGTGGGGGTCAGGGTGAGGGTGGCAGAGCCCTCTTTCTTCCTGTCTGTTCAGTTCTGGAAGACTCCTCTCCACGGCCAGCTCTCTCCTGGCTTGTTAAATGCTTGTTCCTCTTGATGTCGGGGGCCTGCTAGGCCCACAGACAGAGGAGTGAGAATTAGACATGCCAGTCCTAACAGGCACAGCTCCCCACCCCGCTCTGTGATCTCCCACGGCAGGAAGACATCCCTCTACACCTGGGGGAAATATGAAACACAGCAAAATTTATACCATCCGGCACCCCAGGTTCAAGCCTAGCCCAGCCTGGCGCCAGCATTTTCCCACATGCCTGGCAAAGCATTGGGACAGGCTCGAGTTTGGACTCAGACCCCTGTCCTGGCACCGGAGCCCTCTAGCTCCAGCACGGGTCTGGTCCAAGACTCCCCGGGCTGCTCCAGCTGCTTTGGGCCCATGAAAAGCTGCTCTGATGGATAAGGCCCAATGTCTGACATGTCCCCAGTCCAGACACCATCGTGTGCTCACACCAACCACAGCTAATCGCGCCTCGGCTCACCCCGCATTGTTGCTCTTGATGTGGAATATGCATAAACAGTGGTAATTTAGCACGATTTTCCCCTTGACTACATCTCAAATACATGCGACTCGTTGCCACAGGTAATTAACATTTCTTTACAACATTAAATTCTAAACGATTACAATCCCCGCTCAATGAAAATCTGTCGTGCACTGTGTTCCCATCCTACCCGCCAGATAGATGGGAGTCGCAAGCAGTGACAAACTGGCTCTGACTTCGCTGCCCCTCATTAAACATTTGGGGATCAGCTCCAGCGCCTTGGAGAGAAAGCACAGACCCGGGGACAAGCATCGTCCTCCAGCCAGCTCTGGCCGGGGGCAGAGGGTGCCCCGCTCTCGGGGCTAGGAGGGAAGAGCCTGGCTTTGTAGGAGCATCTGTGGGTGGTCGCCCACCAAACCAGCATTGGCCTCTCCATGTCCTGAAGAAGAAGGTGAGTACTGGCAAGCAGGGCTGGCCCCGAGGAAATGAGGTTGGAGGCCAGCACTCCCAGAGGTAGGTGCCCAAGCAGTGTGGCCGAACCTACACCTCCCAAAATCATCACCCCACTCCCTGAAACTACCTGGAATGGCCTGGGATTGAAGAAGCTGTCTCCGTCCCTGCTGGGACCATGCTCAGGTCCCAATTTTAGGCTTTCCTCTGCAACCAAGAGAGCCAGAAACTGCCTTGTATTTCAGCGCGAGCCGAGGTTCGCCTGCAGTCGGGGACCAGCAAATATCGCAGCACTCCCGACGAAACCATGAGCGGCCATTACCGCTAGACAAGCACTGGGGGCAGCTACCGAGCATGCCTCAAGACAGAGGGGCTGCAGGTAACCTGCTTCTGCTCACCCGGAGGGCATCGGGGACGAGGGAAGGAGACCTCGCTCTCTGGGCCAGAGTCGTTCTTTGGCAGCCCGCTCAGAGCTGGGGCTGGGGCAGGCGGTGCACGAATGCACGCAGGGAAGGGAGAAGCAGCCGTGGCTGGTGCTGAGGGGGAGAAGATCCTCCTTCAGCAGCTCTGGACCCCCAGCTCCTCTCTCCGTTTCACTCCAGAGCTGAGATGTCTCTGGGGAGCTGCCAGGAGATGCTGACAGCAGCTTTGGGAGAAGAAGGGGTCAGCAGCCAGGAGGCACGAGGGAGGAAGCAGAGCCAGCCTTGAGTTGGTCTCTGCCCTCTCCCTCTCCCCGCACTCCTCTCTTTTTATCCAGAATGGTCTCAGGCGCTCCTGGGCATCTCCACTCCTCCCAAAGCGGCCGTGGGAGAAGGCAGAAAAGGGGACTGGGGATGGTGCCATAACGGATCCATGTCACTCCTTCACCTCCTACCCTGGCGACCCAGCCCTGGGCGCTCGTACACGTTATGCGTTGTTTCGATACACGTCACGAAACGGCACCAAAAATCACCGTTTTGCTAGGTTAGTCGCATCTGAAAATGCAGTGCGTTTAAACAACGAGGACCAGGCACTTTTCTGACGGAGCTTGGAGGGGAGCGCAGCTGGCCGGGGGGAGAGTCCTGGAGGAGGTTTCATGCACCGAGCTCTGCACGTTCACAAAGGGACGCTTTTCAGACTGCAGCAACCGGGATCCTTATTTAAGTGCGCTGTCTTTGCTGCTGCTGCTCCTTGCAGCCATGAGGTGCATCATGCACTCAGAGCTGTTGCACAGTGCCCCCGTGCGTGGAGCTTCCTGGTATCACCCCCAAAATCATCCCCTACAGCTCCCAACCCAACCCTCCAGGAACCTGCCAGTTGTTACAGAGACACCAAGAAGTTCCTGTGTGTGACAGCGAGAATGCTACCTGCCTTCGCAGCACTTCCCCAAGTAGTTCTAATAAAGAGACAGCTTTTTTGTGCAAGCTCGGAGCCCTCTCATGTTATTACCAAGCAAGGGGACGTTGGGCATGTTGGCAGCACTCGGGTTGAACGAGACCTACAGCCAAGAAGAGAGCAAGTGCTAGGAAAACAACTCGGCACCTAGCAACTCAGCCGTCACCAACTCAGCAGAGACAACTGGCACTGCAACGTGGAAAGACTCAGGCCCCTGGGAACGCTGGATTTCCAGACAAAAACCTTTGCACAACCAGGGAAGCACAAATGAGCATGTTTACAGAACTGGGTGTAAGGCAGAGAGGAAACGACTCCGGGGGATCAAGGTAAGGATGCAGAGAGACTTTTTTTTGCTATTTCACTGGGGGAAAAGATGACGGCGGTGCTTGATGAGCGCTTTGCCCACAGAGGAGGAGACAGCCAAGAGGAAGATCTTTTACCCAGAACGAAAACACAGACGAGGAGATGGATACGTGCATAACAGGGCCGAGAATTACGGTGCCCACGTGTAATGTGGCAATCCCTTAGAGATGGGTCTTGCATTCGTGGGGCATATAATTCACCCACGAGACTGCTGGGAGCAGCGGATCTAACCCTAGAGAAACGCCTCTGGATGTCAAGTGTGGCAGAACGGCCCCGTGCAGAAAAAGGCTCCGAACCAGGACAGCCTCTAGTAGAGACCGGCCTACAAGCTCCAGCTGCAGGACGCCAGGAGGAGATGGAGACGGGTGATGGAGAAGGCAGGCGTCAGGGCCCGGTGCCTGTCTCGCAGACAAGACAAAAGGCAGATGTAGCCACGGCGCAAGGGGAATGGGGAAAAGAATGGCTTTGTTGCCCACTGCTGCAGGAAGAGAGAGGAAGGGGTCCCTCCTTGGCATACGCCCTCCCAGGGACACGGGAAGGGGTGGGCTGGACAGCCAAAGGCAGAGGCACCTTTGCACAGGTGAGCCAATCTGGTCCAGCTGCCAAATAGCCCCACGACACAGTGGAGAGGCTGCAGCAGGACAGAGGTTACCGGGGGTGGTGGTGGAGACAAACCAAAGACAACCATGGGATGGCAGGGGATGCCTGCTCCCTACTCCCTAAACATACTGGGCAACGGCCAGGACCAGGGGGATTTAGAAGGACCTTCAGCCATGCACTGGCTTTGGGAAATGAGGCATGCGAGCAACACAAAACCAGCAAATGTCACAGGGTACAAGGATAAAAACTGTAGAAAGGAAAACCATAGCACTGGCATGGGACCTGCGGGGAGCACAGGAAGGGTGTGGATGAATGAGGGTGAAAGCAAGTTGCTTGAGCCAGCTCGTCTGCAGAAATGGGAGACCGAACAGGCTGCAGTATTATGGCACTGGTATGCAGTTGTCTCAATCAATACCGAGTCAGTTTAGCTTTACTGTCGCAGAGTCCTTGTGTGTTATTACCCAGCCAGTGTTTCCAGCAGGGAGGGTCCCCGAGGAGAGAGCAAGCGGGGAAGTCGGGAGCCAAACTATGTCACCTTGGGATTGCTCAGCTCCATGTTGGTGGGGTTGACCAAGCCAGTGTGCATGCGCTGAGCCCTACCCTCACACCCCTTCCCCTTCCTTTCTTTGCAGCCTGCGAGCTGGGCTTTTACAAGTCAGCCCCCGGCGACCAGCTGTGTGCCAAGTGCCCCCTGCACAGCCACTCGGAGAGCCGGGGTGCCCAGGTGTGCCGCTGCGACAGCAGCTACTACCGGGCAGCACAGGACCCTCCGTCGGCAGCCTGCACCCGTGAGTATCCTCCACCCAGCCGAGCTCTGGCCATTGCCCGCCTTCCCCACAGCAGAGGGGCACGAAGGGGCCAGAGCCTGGATAAAGATGTGCCCGGGGGACAGCACTGGGGTGGGGGTGCAGGAGAGAGCCGCTCTGTGCAACAAGAGACTATGCATGTGCTGGTGCCCAGGGGGAAACGCATTAAAAACTGCAGGAACCGATTCCTAGACATGCTGGAGTCGGTGGGAGTTTTGCCAGGTGCTTACGGCAGCAGGGGGGCATGCCCACCCCCATGTCTGAACAACTAGCTCACTCATTACAGCTGCAGGGTGCCTGGCCTGCAGGAGCTGGGGGGCACGCTAGCTGTTGTGCCTTTCTCCTAGTGTGGACAGGGCCTTGCGGGCTGCATGCCGAGTGACCTGGGGTGTGCGTGGGGTTTTCCTTGGGTGGCTGTGCAGAGGAGGTGTGAACACGTGCCTGCATCACTACAGGTGCATGTGTATTTGTAGATCCGCGTGGGCAGGCTGCATCCCCGGCTGCGTGTGTCTCGGGCTCTCTGAGCGCCTGCAGGCTGTGTCTCTGTCAGTGGCAAGTTTCTCTCCCTGGTTCTTTGCCATGTGAGCTTCTTCATCTGTGGGAGGAGTGCATGTGTGCTTCTGGGTGTTTTTTTGTGTGCCTGGGCATGTGGCCCTGAGGAATGACTGTGTGTGGTGATGTGTGTACATGGTTTCGGGGGGGGGGAGTGTTTTTTGTATACCTGTGCATTTGTGCTTCTGGGGGATGAGTGTGTGCATGTCTCTTTACCTATCGGTGTGCGTTTCTGGGGTGCGTATGTGTGTGCTTGTGTGTACCTGTGAGAGAGCATACATCTGTGTGCCCAGCGGTGTGCATGTTTCTGGGGGATGTGTGCATTTGTGTATCTGCTTGTGCTTGTGGAGGAGGTGTGTGTGTCTGGGGAAGGGCTGTGTGTGTCTGTGCATCCATGTGTCTGGTTGCTGGGGAATGTGTGTGTGTGTGTGTGTGCACGCGTGTGCTGATGATGCTGTTGAAAGGATGTTCTTGTTTAATTTTCCTGTCTCCAGTGCTAAAGCATATACTTTTGTCTCCATCGTGTCAGGAAGGGGAATGCTTTCCCGTTCAGCCCAGCCTGTGTACCTTGCACAGGCTTGTGCTGTCTCTGGAAGCGGCAGATCAACTGCGAGGTGCTGACATGTCGGGGAAGGCAGGCGGTTTCCATGCGCTCAGATCTGCCCATTCAATCACTGCTCTCTCTCTTCAGAGCATGTCTCCCTCCGGCCAGCCCGCGTCTCCGCAGTGATATCCCCCCACGGACGCGCAGGGCACGTCTTCCTCTGGCCGCCCTGCCGGTCTCTGTTCTCCGTTGCAGAGCACGCCGCCCCTGGGCTGGGGGGCTTCGGACCATGCCACTTCCCAGAGCCCCTTCCCTTTCCCATCTGCCTGGATCTCTGCTTTCTTTCCAGGCCCCCCCTCTACTCCCGTGAACCTGATCTCCAGCGTGAACGGCACTTCGGTGACGCTGGAGTGGGGCCCGCCGCTGGACAAGGGAGGCCGAGCCGACATCATGTACAACGTGGTCTGCAGGCATTGCCCGTGGGACCTGGGCCAGTGCGAGACGTGCAGCAACGGCATCCGCTTCGTCCCTCAGCAGATGAGCTTGGTGCAGGGGGGCCTCACCGTCACCAACCTCATGGCCCACACGAACTACTCCTTCTGGGTGGAGGCCATCAACGGGGTGTCCGACCTCAGCCTGGAGCCCAGGAGATTCGCAGTGGCCAACATCACTACGAACCAGGCAGGTAGGAGAAACGGACGTCGCCAGACAGCGTGGCGGCCCACGTCTTCTGGTATCGGCTCCGGTTGCGCCTCCTCCCGAAGAGCCAACAGCCCTCAAAGGCGAGCACAAAACTAGGGGTGATCAGGAGGGGAACTGTAAAGAGAACCGACAATAGCATTGTGCCCCTTTGTACATCCAGTGTGTCCACACCTTGCACACTGCCTAGTTCTGGCCCCTGCACTGCAGCAAGGAGATGGACGAACTGGAGCAGGGCAACAAGGATGATGAGCAGTCTGGAGGGGTTTCCATGTGAGGAAAGACTACAGAGACCAGGCCTGCTTGGTTTAGGAAAGATATTTGGGAAGGGTTTACAAAATACTAAATGGCAAAGACAAAGTCGATAGGGATCTATTATTTACGGCCTCTCACAATGCAAGAACGAGGGTCACAACGTGAAACAAGTGGGGGGTCAGTTTAAAATGAACACTATAGATTGCATAGACATCAGGGCTGGCAGGGACCTCGTGAGAGCATCGGGTCCAACCCCCAAAGTCATTCTTTTTCATGCAACACGTAATTAAACCGTGGGACTTGTTGCCACCCAATGCAGGGGAGAGTTCAGCCCGATTCACAAAGGGCTTGGACATGTTCTTAAAGGAAAAGGGCATCAGTCGCTATTGAGCACGGGAGCGAGGGGTACGGCTTCTGCATCGGAGCTTCCTAGACCTGAAATACTGGAGGCTGCACGAGAGAGAGGAACGGGAAAAAATCCTGGTGAGACCCAGTTCACTCTCCCCTCCAGCCTCCTCTGCTGCCCTGTGACACCAGAGACTGGGCCAGGTGGACCGAGGGTCTGGCCCAGCACATAGCAACTGTTATGCTATTATTAAGTGCCGAACAGTTGCCTGCAGGGCCAATGCTCTGGTGCTGAAGGCAGCCCAGGGTCTCCCTGCACATGGTCTTTGTACCGAGGGCAATGCAGAGGTGCACTGTATCGACTAACTGAATCAGAGCTGCATACCCTTTCCTGAACAGCTGCTCACTTCATCTGACAAGCCTCTGGTTCAGTTAGTCTATAAGGGGCACCTCTACCCTGCCTTCTGCTAGACTTCAGACTGACCTGGCTAACGACCCCTCTCTGGTCTTTGCGTGTGGAGCTGGTGGGCAGATGTGGCTTGCCCATGGAGACGGCAGTAATTTCCACACGGGTCCGTGAGAAATAACCCAGACCACTTCAGATGGGGCCAGCGGGACTGTGCGCATCTCCTTAGCCCTCGTGATGCTGGCATGAGGGACACGAGCAGTGTGTGGGTTGCAGCAGAGCTGCTGTTGGCAGACACCCACCTCCGCGAGTAAGAGATTCATCCTTCTCAGCTCGCTCAGCCCTCGCAGGCCGCCTCCTCTCCATTTATCCCTCCATCTGTCCTGCTGCGGGGGCACCCTGTCGCCCCGGGGGCACAGGCACACAGGGCATTTGCATGTAGACGAGTGACACTAAGGAGCACGAACCTTTAGGTCTGCTCCTTCCCAGCCCTCTCCTCCCATCCCAAAGGGCCAGACAGAAGTTCATGCCCTGCCTAGTGCTCTCTTTCCACCTCCTAGCAGTGCCGGCCGCTGGCAGGTGACGGCAGCGTTTGTTAGGGAAAGCCTCTCTCATGCATGTCTTATTTTTTCAAATCTCCTGCTGAGAAACAACCTCACATCCCAGACAGGTCTTCCCAGCTGTCCCCCGGGTCCTGGAGAAGACGGCACCTGGCTGCAGGTCCATCCAGGCACCACCCCAGGGCAGGGGCCTGCCTCTCCCACCCACCCAGCACTGTTTGGAGAGCAGTGCAGGGCTGTTTTTCAGGGGGGCCGTTGTGGGTAGCTCTGGAGCAGTCACAGGAGTTGCTCTGGTCCAGCCCCAGCCAGGGAGTTGGTTGTAAACTTTCTCTTGTAGATCTCCACCCTGCCACCCTCCTGGCCCTGGCCCCACACTGATCAGCTGCATCCCTCCTGTGCTATTGGGAGGGCCGCTCTGGAGATGTCCGTGTAGGCTGGCTGCACAGAGGGAGGGAGGTGGACTATTCCTGATGTCGCTTCCCTCCTGGAAGTTAAGTGTTGAGCAGGCACTGTGAAACCAGCAGGGCCAGGTACCTTGGTAGTAATTGGAGTTTAGCGGCAGCATCTGTGCAGCATCCCAGCTGTCCTGCTCCGCGGCACGGCTCTGGCAGACAGCGGGGTTCGAAGGAACCCTGCAGGGAATGAGGAGGCCTGGGATTGAAGGCACAAAACAGCTCGCTCGCTATGAATGTGAGCAATCCTTTGCTGGCCTGCGGGGAGCTTTCAACCTGATGACTCCCCAGCGCTGAGCAAGGCGGGGACTCGGGGTCCAGTTGAATACACGAGAGAGCAGAGACTCAACGCGATGTCGAAGGAATATTCACTGGAGCTAGCAGGGGAGGCAGCACAAGGACTGACCCCATCCTGTCTGCACCTGGAGCTTAGGTTTCCTGTTGGAAAGGACAAATGTGCATCCTTGCAATGATGTCTAGCCTAGAGAGAAGCCTGTCACTGCACTTCCACGCAGGTAGTGCTTCATCTTTCACCTTCCCCCATCCTCTTGCCTCATTCAGCAACTTTGTCTTGAGCCCTGCAGGGGATTATCACTGGGGATTATCACGGGATAGTTTCTGGAGTCTGGAAATGCCGGGGTGGAGTTCAGGCATGGCCCAGAGTTGCGGTGTCACTGCTGATGGTTTGTGTGTGAACCGCGTTTACAGTGCTGCCGCGCCCTGGGCTGTTTTCTGCATAGCCATGGGGTATGTCTACACCGTGAAGGCACCATGGAGGTAGCCCAGCTTGATCTGCCTCGTTCAGATGGCAAGAACAGCCTACTGCAGTATCACCGAGAGGCTCGCTGCCTGAGCATCTCCCTGCCTCTGCGGTTTGCAGCTGGCTCGGAGCTGTGTTGCCAGGGGTTGACTGTTATCCGTACCCGAGCCAGCTCTGATATGTTTAAACTACACAGCAGTTGCTGTAGTATGGACACGCTCTTTCCTTTCACTAGGGTGTTTTCATGCTCACTAGGTACAAGGGTGAGTCTGGATGCTCCCCACATGTATGTAATACCAATGCAGTTCGTGGCACACACCGGGGGTGGAACAGCCCTTCGGCTGATCCTTCCTAACCAGGAGGAACATCTGGGGAGGAGTTGCACACCACTGGTTTATGTCGCCACGGGCCTGAGCACAGAAAGCGGGGAGCGCAGGGTCCCCTGGGGTGCACCACGTTGCATGTGGAGCTTCCCTCCATCTGCTCTTGCTTGATCAGACTTGGTAGGGACAGAGCTTCCTTAGAGCCTGTGCCGCAGCCCAGCCAGACCTGTAGAGCAGCGGCTCGCAGATGTTTTAGAGCCAGGCACCCCTCGTTAGACTCAGAGCACCCCTCAGGAAATGCCAGCTCTGCTTTCACTCACTTCTCGACTGCAGAAAAATAATAGAGCCGTTCTTCTGTTGCAAAGAACTGTTGGCACGTGGGGTCCAGGGAGATTCGCGCTGTCCAGGGGGGTGAATCCAGTTGCTGATGTTCTGCCATGTTTGCAGCCCCCTCCCAGGTGATGATGATCCGCCAGGAGAGCACGGGCCAGAACAGCGTCACGCTGCTATGGCAAGAGCCCGACCAGCCAAATGGCATCATCCTGGAATACGAGATCAAGTACTACGAGAAGGTAACTGTGGATATGCTTCTCTGGGCCCAAACAGTCCCAGCACGCTAGACTAATACAGTGTTATTGCTTGTTATACACGGTCCGTGGTATAATTACTGTTACAAGCTAGTCTCACACCAAGGACTACATTCGCTCCCCTCATCCTTCCTCCTGGTCTCAGAGCTGTCTCGGTGAGATCTCTGCTTTGTGCTCCAACAGGACAAGGAAATGCAGAGCTATTCTACATTGAAATCCAAAGGCACCAGTGCTACCGTCTCTGGTCTCAAGCCAGCGACCCGCTACATTTTCCAGGTCCGGGCGCGAACTTCTGCCGGCTGTGGAAGATTCAGCCAGATCGTGGAGGTGGAGACTGGGAAACCAGGTGAGTGAGGGCGAGGAGGGAGAGGTGGAAAGGAGAAGCAAGGCATTACATATTACAGCAGGCTTTCTCCGGTGTGTGGGTGGGCTCCTTACTCCAGATGCTCCCATCTAGCTAGCACTTTTGTGATGTTTCCCTTCCAGTCGCTCTCCGGTACGACACCATGACAATCGTCTGGATCTGTCTGACCCTGATAACTGGCCTCGTGACGCTGCTGGTGGTTCTCATCTGCAAGAAGAGGTAGGCGATATGCTGAGCTCTCTCTAGCTTAAACCAGCTCTCCCTGGAAGCGGGGTAGTGGGTGGTGTGGCCCCAGGCCCGAGCGCTCTGCCAACAACCAGCTCTTCTCTGCCTGGCAAAGCAAGTGAAGCCTTGTTGAGATCAACTGCACAGCAGCCAGCATGGCAGAGCATGCGGCTGGTCCAAAAGGGACCAAGCTCCGCTCTCTCCCTGTCTGCAGCTGCAGACAGATGTGGAGAGCGACCCTGGCCACCATTCCTTCTCCACTTCCAGGAGGCTAAGTACCACATGCTGCGGGGCAGCAGTGTGGCCTTGGAGAGAGCGAGATAAGACATCAGGGTCCCTTTCATGCAAGAGAGTCCTAGAAGAGAGGGGGATTGTGCAGTGAGCTGCCGTGAACCCTCCAGGAGTGCAGTGCCACTGCAGAAATGTGCACTGGGAAGCCAAGATGGTCACTGTTCGGTGCTGGGGTTTGTGATGCTGTTCTCTGAGCTCAGCTGTGGTTAGCCTGGGACAACGCACGTGAAGGGTCCCCAGCTAAACCAAAGTACAAAGGTGCACGGGAGAGAGCAGGCAGGGTGGGCTGTGAGATGAGCTTCCTCCATGCAGCCCAGCTGTCAGCAGTGTGTACGGGGAGCATCTCAGCTCCAGCTCAGCTCCCACCTGTGACCCCCTGCTCCTGCATCCGGCTCCAGGGTGGTCCTGTCTGGAAACCCACTGCGCTCCACCCTGCGTGTCCCCTGTGCTGGTTTAACAGGCCCCTTCCCTCTTGCTCTTGTGTCTCCCGGCCAGGCACTGTGGTTACAGCAAAGCCTTCCAGGACTCGGATGAGGAGAAGATGCACTATCAGAACGGCCAGGGTAGGTGCACGCCCGGCTCCGCTCTGCTCACTGTGCTGCACAGAGAACCGCCGGCTTGAGAGAAATTCATGGGGCAGAAGCTTCTGCTGGATTTATTTCCGCCCAGCACCGCAGGGGTGGTTTGCTGGTTGCCGGTATTCAACAAGCCCTTGTTACCCGGAGCCTGGATAAGCCAGCTGGGTGGGAAGACTGTGAGAGCACTGTCATCAGTACGTGTCTGCGCTGGGGTCTGCGGCTTGCATAGTGACAGGCTGGCAGAGGGAGGTGCAGGTACCGGTGCCCGGTGGGGAAGACCCGGGTGCTTATGGAGCTGTGTTTAGGGTCAGCTGCTCTTGCTGCCCAAGGTGGGGGGCTCTGGGAGAGTCTCTCTAGACCCTGCATGGTTTCCCAGGCTCCCGGGGTATCCAAACTCCATGGGCCTTTCTGAGGAAGTCTGCATTTTCACAAGGGAATCTCTACTGATGGGAGATTGGGTGATGGGAGCATCTCCTTTGCACTGCTCTGAAGAGCCAGCGAGTAGCTCTTCCTTCTCCTGGCCATCTCCGCTGTTGGGCCTGGGATCCCTGCTGCCTCCCCAGCTCCCAGGTGCCGTTGCTGCTTGAGGGATCTCACCGTTTCTTTCCCCTTTGGATTTGAACAGTGAAGTTCCCCGAGTCCAAGTTCTACGTGGACCCCCACACCTACGAGGACCCCTGCCAGGCCGTGCACGAATTCACACGAGAGATCGAGGCCTCCCGGATTAAGATCGAGAAGATCATCGGGTCTGGTGAGTCTCTGGCTCTGTGTCCATCCTCAGACCTGTCGTAGGAAACCTGATCTCGTCCCATGACAGAGGTGTACAGGGCTCGGCGGAGGCAAGGGGCTAAGTGAAATGCTGGAGATTTCACTTAGCTTCACCCGCTCTGTGGGTTTCTGAGCACAAAAGGTCTTTTTTAAGACAAGAAACAAACCATTAGATGCCGCACTGGTGTGACTCAGGGCAGCTGGGCTGGTGGCGCGGCAGCACGGGCACCACGAGTTCGGTTTCAAAAATGTAACCCTGACAGGTCGTAGCTCGACGTAAGTCTCTAGCTGGAGGAAAAAAAGACGGGGAGGGTGGCTGTGGGGCAGCAATAGGCACCATCTGTTTTATCCAGGGGCCATTAAACACACCCTGGGAGGCAGCACCAAGGACTGGACCCTAAAATCGACTCCTTTTCAAGGCACTACCACTGAACCCTGGTGCCAGGTTTCACCTGCCCCCACATCTCCTCCGCTCTTGGCAGCCCGCTGGCTCATCTTGGACAGGAGGCATTGCCCTGCCTGGCCCGTAGCCCAGTGGTTAGCTGGGGCACTGCCCTGGGATTTCAAGCCCCTCTGGCTGAGGGTGGCCTGGAGCTGAGGTGCAAGTGTCGTGACTATGAGGCACTGGGTAGGAGGATGGAGGCTTCTTCTCTCAGGCAGCCACTCTGCCTGTGTTTGCACTGGCACCGTTTCAAGGACGTGTGCACAGTTCGGGGGCTCCAGGCACAACCTTGCCCTCTTTCTTGGTGCTGTCAGGTGCATTTTAACATCCCTCACAGGTGCAGGACTGACGGCAGGTTACGGGGCTCTTGATGTCTTTGAGCCTTGTACCCTGTGACGGGGCTGATGGGGTAATTTTAGGAGTCCGTTGGACAAGGACTTATGGATGTTTTGGGCAGGGATGATCCTGCCTCTGACAGGGGGCTGGAGTGGATAGGGTTGGAGGTCCCTTCCGGCCCAACTTTGCTACGATTCAGTGAATAAGGCAGAATAAGATCACCACTAACAGAAGTGGCCACAGCCAGTTCCTTCTGAGCATGCTTGGAAGGAAAAGTCTAGTCATGCAGGAGGACAGGATCTAAAATCTGCCTACATGGCAGACAGCACCTCTTCCTTCTCTACATTTAGATGCACAAGTAGCACTCAGAAGCCTGCGGGTGAAATAGGATTTGGGCCAAGATATCCTATAGCCGCACCGAGTCTGGGTCCCTTTCCACTGCCTCGAGCCTCCCGAAGGAGAGGGCCCAGAGCTTTCAGGGAAGGCGCAGGCTGGAAGACGCTTGCAGCCCTGCTCTCTGGCATCCATCCCACCTTCTGCCGGGCTGTAAGTCAAATAGGAAATCCCCAAATGATAATGGTCCAATACGCCTGCCATCATCAGTCCCCAAGCACTTTACAAACGAGGCCCCAGGATGGGTAATGCCATGCTGCAGGCTTTCTGTTGTGTCCAGGAAACAGGCCTCCTGGCTGCTGGCTTCGGTTCAGCCTGGAGTGCCAACATGCTGCTGGGAGCTGAGCCCCTTTGGTTTGTCTCCTCTTGCTTTGCAGGAGAGTCTGGGGAGGTCTGCTACGGGCGTCTGAAACTGCCAGGCAAGAGGGAGATTCCCGTGGCCATCAAAGCTCTAAAAGCCGGTTACACGGAGAAGCAGAGACGGGACTTCCTGAGCGAGGCCAGCATCATGGCGCAGTTCGACCACCCCAACGTCATCCACCTGGAGGGTGTCGTGACGAGGAGTACGTGGCTGGCTTGCAGCGAATTGACAAAGTCTCATAGGCGGTGCAGGGTGCTTGGGAGACCGTGGGATGCGATCTGAGCACAGGGTGCCTCAAGGAAAGGTTTCACATCCCGGACCCGGCACAGAGCTCCCTGCAGATGTGTTCTGCATCTCCGGCTGCCCCGTGCCATCGTCACTCACGGGCCTTGCATTTTCCTAGCTCTTTTCCTCCCCAAAGCTCCCCCCATGCAACGCACACAGCGGCAAGCTGGTCTGTGCAGCCTGCAGACATGCACCTGCCTGGCAGCCACCTCCCTGCACGCTGCGTCGCCCACAAAGGTTTGGGATGGGTCTTGGCAATATCGCACCTGGCGGGAGCTGTGGAGGAGACTTAGGGATGCAGCCGGGATGCAAAGCACAGCCAGGATCCTTGGGCTAATGGGATATTGTGGGGAGGGCTCAGGCCACGTCCCTGGGGGCAAGTGGCCACATCAGACAAGCAGCGTGGCATCTGCCAAGGACACAGCGCTGCTCTGTCATTCCTAGAGGGCCTCTGTCGGGGAGCAGGATGGGTGCTGGGAGGCAGGAGGGCATGGACGAACCTTGCCCCGACGCTGCCACGGCTCCTCCGGCTTTGCCCGGGTCTGATGCCCAGGAGATTTTTCTGACGTGCCCCCGGCCGTTAACATGGCCAGGAGGCTTCGGCAGCTTGGTCCGAAGCTGGGCTCTCATCTCCCAGCTCTGGGAACCTGCTCCTCAGCCCAGCAGCTTTCTTTCCTTTTGACGTTCCCCATTAGCATCTTCAGAGGGAGACAGCTTGTCACTCGCAGGACAAGCTGCTGCTTTTCTCCTTCCCCTTCCAACTCCATTAGAGAAGAGAACCGTCTATTCCTGGCTCAAACCACTGGCAGGAGGCTGCTGGTTGTTGGGGGCGGGGAGGTTTAGCCATTCACTCCACGGAGGTGAAACACGAGGACTCGGCGTCCTTTGCAACACAACCTGCTTGACATGCCGCGTTCCCCCAGCCCGCTCTGCCCGCACCCCAGTGCCACGGATCGGGGAGACTGCGGTAGGAGAGGTGCTACCCATTAGCATTCGTTTTTAAATGTAAAGGCTGTATGTACTGAATTGTAATTTGAAGTCTTAGTTTTTACAAGCCCATTGTAATGCAAAGCATTATGGTAATAGGATGCAAATTTCATTTAGACAATGGGACTGACTTAGCACCATCAATAGCGCCTGTCGAGAGTCTCCCAACTTGATGCGTTCCTGCCACAGCCACACAATTGTGTGGGTCCCTCTCAGCCCCGGGACGGGACCTCCCTGAATCCATGCAAGGCCGCAGGAGCACAGAGGTTGCCCCGCTGGCCTGGGGCGTGCGTCCTTCTCCGCGCACAGCTGGGGCAGGGGCTCCCAGAGGAAGGTGACTTCTCTATTAACGTGACCTCTCTTGTCTTCTGTAGGCAAATTGGTAATGATTGTGACCGAATACATGGAGAACGGCTCGCTGGATTCCTTTCTCCGGGTAAGGAGCTCTGTATTTTTATTCACTGCACATTCCTGAGGGCTGAGTGACTGATGAGGGGGAAGAACAGGCTGATCTATACTCTGCAGCCTCCTGACCACTGTGACCTCTGAGTAAAAGCGGCGATTGAGCTCTTACCTCTGCAGGAAACACTAGCTCCAAAGCTTCCCGGCCAGCTCCCCCGGGAGCATCGCAGTCAAGGAGGCAGGGCGACTCGGGTTTGCTGTACAGGAACCCAGGAGGAAGGGGTCAGGTGTGACAGGAGCACTAATCCCTCCTTCAGTCGGTCTGGCCTGGGGAGACGCGCACTAAGAAGTGTCTGGGTTTACAGAGGGACATCAGGGTCTTCCTGACCAGAATAGGTGAGCTTAGTGAGTCAGGTTAATGAAGGCAGAGCTCGCCCTGTCTGCACAGGAGTGTGAGCAGAATCCAAGTCACCGAGGCGACTCGGTGCCCGCTGGAGACCCAGCGAGAAGCCCCAAATAATGCCTGGGTTGTGTTGTCTCCAGAAACACGACGGACAGTTCAACATCATCCAGCTGGTGGGCATACTGCGAGGCATCGGTGCCGGCATGAGATACCTCGCTGACCTGGGCTATGTGCACCGGGACCTGGCAGCGCGCAACATCCTCGTGAACAGCAACCTGGTCTGCAAAGTGTCTGACTTCGGCCTGTCACGGATCCTCGAGGATGATCCTGATGCTGCCTACAA